TCCGGGAGGTGGTGACAAGGAGGCCTGGCGTGCTGCCGTCCATGGAGTTGCAAAGAGTGGGGCACTGCTGAGCGGCTGAACAACAACAGCAAACAGACGAAGAAAGGAGGGGAAAGGCGGGAACCACCGGAGTCCAGCAGGCACCTTTGGCTCATTGTGCTCTCATTATAACAAGATTCAGTTCAGTTCAGTTGCTCAGTCATGTCCGACTCTTTGCCACCCCATGAACCACAGCACGCCAGGCCTCCCTGTCCATCACCAACTCCCGGAGTTTACTCAAACTCATGTCCATCGAGTCGGTGATGCCATCCAGCCATCTCATCCTCTGTCGTCCCCTTCTCCTCCTGCCCCCAATCCCTCCCAGCATCAGGGTCTTTTCCAATGAGTCAACTCTTCGCATGAGGTGGCCAAAGTATTGGAGTTTCAGCTTCAACATCAGTCCCTCCAATGAACACCCAGGACTGATCTTTAGGATGAACTAGTCAAAGATAAGACCCACCAGGCACCGATGCCATGATACTTCTGATCTAGGCTAAATGGAGACAGAAATCCCTGGTCTCATTGGGAAAATGGAGCAGGGATGAAAATCAGGGCAGACAAGCCCCAAACTCCTCCTTCCCCAGTGACTGTCTGCCCCTTTTGCAAATCCCTCATAACCGGCTTCCTAAGAAGCCCCTCCTCACCTGCCTGCTCTCCATCTGAGTGTATCATTGCTTAAATAAACTCTCATGCTACTTTCTTAACCTCTCGGCTTTGTCTCCAAATTCTTTCATGATGCAAAAAGAATCTCGAATTCACTGGTAAGGCATGTAAGCGAGGGGCTGAGTGCTCATCAGCTTCCTGGTCTACACACGTGGGAGAGGGGGTGGGGGTGCAGAGCAGTGAGCAGGAAGCTCAAAGGTGGCGGAGGGAGCCTTGCTGAAGAGGAATCAGGTGAGGCCGTGGCACGTCGCCAGTGGTGACCACGCTGAATTTTATCTGAGCTTGTGGCCCTGGAGCACAGCGAAGGATAAGGAGTCCCCCTGCCCCAAGTGTCCCAGAAAACAGCTCACTGCAAGGACTCAGACTCGGTTCCTGGATACCCCCACCCCCCCACCTTACCTGGGACAAGGCCCGACAGGGGCCCTCCGAATTCCCGTTCTTGGCCTCACCTGAGTTCTCTCACTGGTCCTTGGGAACAGGAAGCCTACTAACCAAACTTAGTTTCAGCTTCTCTGCTTCCTTCAGCCTCACCCAGAGCAGGCAGGCACCCCTCTCCTGAGCTCAGGCGCCTCCGGGAAGAACATTCTCTGACCGCCTTGCCTACGAAGCCACCCTCTCAGTCCACTGCCCACCGTGGTGGTTTCTAGCTGTGTTTACTCCTCTCTGTAAAGAAACCTCTCTTGCCCAACCCTGGAAAAGCTTGCAGCTCCTCAAGTCAGCGCTTTTTCCTGTTACTAGACTCCCTCCCCACTCACCTACCATCACCCGCAGGGTCCTCAAGAATAAAATTATAAGTCAGATTCTCTTCTTATTCAGCTGTGGTCAGGAAAGGCCTCCCTGAGGAGCAGAGACTTACACAGATGGACTGTGGTTTGAGGGACAACTAGGAATTACAGCATGCAGGTTTGTTTTAAGAAACAGATCTTTTTAGCCTAAAAGAGAAGCAGGAGGACAGAATTGTGGAGTTTGCTTAGGTTGTTTAGAGGAGGTGGTTAAAGGAGCCCAGAAAATATAAGAAGTTGGAGAAATGGGGGAGACCAGAAAGACATGACGCTGCTTCAGACCACAGAGGAGCCCACGCAGTCCTTCCGCAGATGCTGTTTGTCAAGCACCTACTATTTGCCATCTACTGTGCCAGGCAGTGGGGACTCAGGGGTGAGGAAACTAGTATGGGTGTTTAGTAAACTAGTATGGTTTACTAGTAAACTAGTAAACTAGGTATGGGTGTTGACTTGCAATCTACAGGGAAAGCCAGACACGAGCAGAGTAATCACATGCGTTCTATTCAAACAATGGTGAGCCCTCTGTGGGTGAGTGGCAGGCAGCAGGACATATTACCCTGCACCTAGACCACCTAAATCACTGCAGATGGTGACTGCAGCCATGAAATTAAAAGACGCTTACTCCTTGGAAGGAAAGTTATGACCAACCTAGACAGCATATTAAAAAGCAGAGACATTACTTTGCCAACAAAGGTCCATCTGGTCAAGGCTATGGTTTT